GATAGGGTTAGGGTTGGTTGTGTTATATTTAGAAGGGCCTATAGGTAAAATTGCCTTTCCGACATTTTTTATTAATGTACCAAAGTAGATTTAGACTACCGTTTCTTGTATTTTTCGCATTTTTCTCTTTTTTCGCTTGTTTTGTTTTCTTCGGGATGATCCGGGTCAGTCAAAGTTTCGCAATTTGATTGGTCGATCATCTGTCGATCATCAAAAATTCCCTCCGCTTTAACCTATCCCCTGAAACAGATGCTGCAGGATGACGCCCCGATTCTCTTTAGCTATATGGGCGTATGTTAGACATTTTTCTTATGCTTCTGTTTTCATGTAGTTTAGGACCTTGGGGTTTAGAAAATTTTAGAACCGGGAGGTCAGTAGTTTATACGTGAGTTGATTGGTATGGGTTCAAATAATTAGTCCTAGACTTTAGTCCTAGACTAGAGGTATTGATGTTAAAGTATGAACGCTAGAGCTTGTTTGGATAGCAAACCTATTACTATATGTTTTTTCATATTATTTTTAATTTAGACATTTCGATATTATTTAGACATTTCGACATTATTTAGACATTTCGGCATAATTTAGGATTTCGATAATATTTAGACATTTCGGCAGCTAAATATCAAATGTCGAAATATTTCTACAAGCATAAAACAATTTCGGCTAACAACATTAGTTTTACCTCATCTTGATTCATCTGTCCTTTCTTAGTTTTAATTGCTAAGAATCCAGAGGCCAGGTCCACCACAAACCTAAAATTATTAAAAAGACTAGAATACTTAAAATTAATGCCAAACCTAGAGAAATTATTTAAGTATGTCTGAGCCTTGGACATGTATATTTCACCTAGGAAGGATAGCAATTCTTTGCCATTAGATTCTATTGAAAGTTTCAAAGCTTCTTGACGAAGACTTTCCACATATGGTTCAAGCTCAGAGGGGTTATCTTGTTTCGGAAATTGAATAAGTTTGTCTTGTATATAACGGACAATGTTGGATATGCGAACTGTGTGACGGTATTTTTTTTGCTCATCTGTATCTATGTGGTCTATTTCAGGAGAGCCACCATTGTTTGTAAATGAGGATAACCAAAGGCCAATTTCCAAATTACCAATATAAGGTTGCCAAGCGTCACCTCCAACATAAGAGTTGAGTGATGCTTTAGTTTTTAAGGCTAAAATTAAATAAAAGTAATTAATTATTATGAAAGGTGTAATAGAATTAAACACAAGAAAAAGTTTAAAGCTTCCAATCGTTTATTATTCCACAGTTATCATAAAGATAACGACTATTCGGATCTGAGAGAATTTTGTAAGCTTCTAAAAGCTTATTCCACTGTAAAGAATCTTGATTTAATACTATATATGTGTACAAAAATAAAAGTAAAGTCAGGAAAAGTACCTCTTTAGATTCAATACCATTATTTTTATCAGGATGGTACTTGGGAGCGAGTTTTCTGTAGCTTGATCTAATTTCTGCGTCAGTTGCATTAGGGTTTAATTGGAGAATTTCATACAAACTTGTATCCTTCGGTTTACTAACAACTGTCAGATTTTGAATAATTAAATAATTAGAATAATATTAAAACAAACATAATTCTTTACCGCTTACCACCAGAGTCAGATTTCTTTGTTTCGAATGAACTGATAGACCCTTCTAGTATTAATCTTCGACGTTCATTATATTCACTCTCATTGATTG